TTGGTTTGGTTTGGTTTGGTTTGGTTTGGTTTGGTTTGGTTTGGTTTTGTCAGCTTGGCACAAGCTAGAGTTATTTGGGAAGAGAAATCTCAATGACAATACCTTCATCAGATGGCCTGTGCGTGTGTCTGTAAGGTATTTTCTTAATGATTGATGTGAGAGAGCTTAGCTCACTGTGGGTAGGTAATGCCACTCTGGGCAGGTGGTCCTGACCAGTACAAGAAAAGCAAGCTGAACAAACTTTAGGAGCAAGCCAATAAGCATCATCCTCTATGGTGTCTGATTCAGTTCCTGCCTCCAGGTTCCCTCCTTGAGCTCTTGCCCTGACTTTCCTCAGGGATGGAGAGTGGCCTGAGAGTTGTACTATGAAGTAAACCCCTTTCTCACCAAGTTACATTTGGTCCTGGTGTTTCTCACAGCAATGGAAACCTAACCAAGACACTCACTTGCAGATAGTAGAGGAGAGGGCCCCCTGGCTTACAGAAGTGTCCTTTGCCTGAGCTGTCTTCAGTAGGCAGTTCTGCATGGCTGTATGTCTTGCTTGAGGTTAGATCAGATTTGAGGAAGTCTTAGCCACCCCAACTCTGTCTAGTTACGTCAGTCCAGAGAGTCCCAGAGCAGAAAGATCTGAGTTCTTTGACACAGGACCCTAGAGCTCACGCACCACCTAGACCTCAGATTTTTCTTTTTATAAAATGAACTTAAATTTGGTTTACATCTGGTTTAGGACAAAAGATAATAGAGTTTTTCCAGACATGACAAGTAGGTCTTGGTGTCTCTTATTAAAATCCAGGTCATATGAACTCAAAACAAATGCTTCCAGTTGTCGGTAGCTTGACGTGGTGTTTTCTTGTGCTGCTCTGATGCCTGTATTTGTTCTTTCAGATCTTCATACACCTGAGTGACGCTTACTCTGTGGTGGGGATTCCCCTGCTCAGGTAAGGGCTCTATTTGTAGAATTATGAACTTATTTTCTTTATGTGGTATGGACTATTGATACAGCAGAGGAGGCAGTTTGCCAAGGTCTTTGCTTGGGGATAGGCCTTGATCTAACTAGAGCTAAGAAAGGTTGATCACAGTCTTCCATGGATTATAGGATAAATCTTGAAAGGATGCTGCACAGGTCCATGTATAAGCTAAGATTGTTAGTCTGTTGGCATCTTGGCAATGGAATTTAAAAAGAAAATGAAGCGTAGTTATATAAATGCATATTGAACATTCTCCAGATTTTATTGCCATTGTTGTTTCATTACGAGTGTCTATTGCTCATTTTAAAAATCATTTTCAAGTGTCTCTCTACTCATGCAGAGTACTAAATAAGTTCAAATTCTTTTTTTAAAAAAACATATCTACTGAATTCTTAGTGGGCGACAGTTGCTTTTTCTAGGTGTTTTGGGGAGAAAGCTGATTGGATGCAAATGGTCACTCTTAGGTTCTTGAAAGCACGTCAATAGCAGTGGCATTTAAAAATATGCACACAGTATAGTGATTTACATACCATTTTCTGTTAATTCTGCATTTGCCTTAAGCTCCCGTTTTCTTAGTCTTACATAAGAATGTGTTTTTAAAATGCCTGATGTATAATTGCTATTCTCCAGCGGAGCTCTGCCGCTGGCCAGCACAAGGCCAAGAGCTCTGCACATGCCCACGAATGCTGAATGATAGTGTCCCTGCTTATTGCCAGTCATATGGCAGGCTCTGCCGGTGTCCAAGGACCAGGAGTTAGATGAGGTTCTTGATACTGCAACCCCTGTGAGACTGTCACCTGCCTTGGTGGCCTGCTGCTTCCCCTGGGCCACAGTTACCCACTGCCAGCTCTTCAGACCCAAGCCTCACCTGCTGTATGCTGCATGGTGTCCTGGCTGCCTTGCTGTGGGGCCCTCGATGACTTTAATTCCAGTACTTCTGCCTATCTGGCTTTTTTTTTTAATCCCCTAATTGCTGACAGGAAGAATGGGGGAAACTGCAGAATGGTTACATTTGAGCTGTGTGTTTATTCGTGATCACCAAAATGAAGGCCAAGTAAGACAGTTAAACATAGAGCATATTTTATAAGAATTCATAGCAGAAAGTAAGTTTCAGTCACTTTTTGTTTCTTTGTGCCTCCCCCTCCCAGTCCTTCCCTCTTCTTTTCTCTATCTCCCTCCCCCATCCTTGATGCTGGGGGTCAAACCCAGGGCTTTACCACACATGCAGTACAACAGATATACTTCTCAACTACATTCCCAGCTACTTTCTACTTACCCCAAAAAAGGTGACTCTAGAAACTGACTAGAAAGAGATTATCTCAACCCTAGTGGTACTAAAATACAGCAGTGATGTATTTAGATTCCAGTGCCAAATAAACTAATCTTTTAAATTTTCAATTATATATAAAACTGATAAATTTTAATTCAATGAATATATATAACTTTATATAAGTGTTTTTAAGTCATTAAATTTTATAATTCCAATTTTTCCATACTTGTAGTAACACAAGTCGTGCATATAGCATTTCAAATAACAATTGGTAGTAAGCTAAATGTTTAAAGGCACCTGTGTACCTGAAGGTTAAGACTCAGAACTGGAACATACAATGTAATGAGAAGTTACATTTGATATCCTGTGGTAAGTTGCATTGACCACCTCAGTGAAGGAAAGAAGTGGTCTCAAAGGTGTCTCGAAGCTGACATGTTGATTTGTGTGTGTGTAACCAGAAGAACAACATGGTGACCCTGGCTATGGACAACAGTGGGAACCTAGGAAACAGCATAAGATAGGCAGGATGTCCAATGGCCACATCAGAATATTGCAGGAGTTCCTGAAAGGTTGCTTTTTTAAAGATAAGAACTGTGTGGATCTTTTGAAGAGCAGTTTGACATCTCAAGGGCATTAACTATACCCACACCAGCATGGTCGTGGTATCTCTTCTTTGCTATAAAATCAAGAAAATAATATTACCCACTTTATAGCTATCTTAGTTATCTATTGGTGTGATAAGACACCATGGCCAAGACAACTTATAGAAGGAATTGTTCATTGGGGCTTACAGTTTCAGAGGCTGAAGTTCATTACCGTCATGGTGGGGAGCTTAGCAGCAGGCAAGCAGGCAGTGTGGTAGCAGTAGTAAAGAGCTCTCACATCTTGTCCACAAGTAGGAGGGAGAGAGACTGGGTTTGGCATGGGCCTTCAAACCTCAAACCTCATCTCCAGTGACACACCTCCTCCAACAAGGCCACACCTCCCAACCCTTCCTTCACAGTACACCATCTGTAGAACAAGCATTTGTATAGATGAGTCTGTGGGAGCTGTTCTTATTCAAACCACCAAACTAGCTTTGTGGTTGGGGTTAAATAAGCCAACCTGTGTGACTGTTTCCAAGGTTCGGGGTTTGCTGAATACATTTTAACTTGTATTTTTGAAACCATTCAGGAAGGGGTGGGGTGGGGGAATATTACTAGAGCTACAGGAATCCATTCAGTTAGTCTGCGGTGAACAACTATGTCTCTGAGTAAGATAGTTATTAAGTTCAAGAAATCCAGTCTGGCAGTAGAGTGGCCCATGATAGAAACTTGACCAAATAGGAAAGAGTTAACTATTGGGTGGCAGATGGGTGACGGACCTAAGACTTGAAAGGTTAGGTGTGGAGCCACATGCTTGTCATCTACAACAGGATGCTCTGGGTACAGGCGAGTTCCAGGACCGCATAGCACGACTGTGTCAGAAGCAGAGAAGGGAGAAGGAGTGGGGAGGGAGGAAGGAAAGAGGGAAAGACAAGGAAGGAGAGAAAGGAAGGCAAGGAGGGATAGAAAATATGAAAGAAAAAAGGTGTGAGGGGATTAAGGCCTCCCCAGTGGACAAGAGAAGAAAAGATCTTCCAGGCAGATGTAGCAAAATTTCTGTCTTCGTTTCTTTGATACTTTTCTGTTTGTGTGATAAAATACTCTGACAAAAGCAACTTTAAGGGAGAAAAGTTGGTTCCCAACTCTAGGTTACAGTCTACACAGGCAGAGAAACATTTCATCCACAGGCAAGCACAGAAAGCAGTGTGTTAATGCACGTAGTGCTTAGCTTGCTCTCTCCATGGTATACAGCCCAGAGGCCCTACTCAGGGAATAATCGTGTGCACAGTGAGATGGGACTTTCCACACCAATCGTGTAATCAGAAGAGTTCCTCACAGCCATTCTCAGAGGTTAACCTAAATCCAGTCAACCCACACAGGTCACAGGTGTGCCTGGAGAGGGAGGGCTGTACCGAGGCATTAAAATGATACAAACCACACTCCTTGTCTTAATGGAGGATGCTGTTTAAGAGAAGAAAGAAAGTTATTTACATGGGAAGAACCAAAGCCTGTTTTTCTTTTTGAACAACTAAAACCTGATTTTAAAAAATCCCAGACAAGTAGGTGATTGTTTTTATTCTTAAGAGTTTGAGCTGCTTCCCCCTTGACTCTGCCATGCTGGTTGAATGGGTCCATTTGTTGTGGTCATAGCAGACTGTGATGCCTAGGCTTAAGCAGAATAAGATTGCATTTATATTTGACAGATATGTCAAAGTTTTCAGAGGACCTATACAAATCCCTGCTACTCGGAGGAAGACTGTAAATTCTCAACTAGGGACTGTTTTCCACTCCGCTTCCTGATGGATATTTATAGAATAAACTGATGTGTTTTCCAGCAAGATAATTGCCAAGCTTACTTTGTAGGATCAAAATTCATTGATCAAAATACTTTATGGTCTATCTGCTGCCAGTTTACAGCCTGGAATTCAAAGCTATAAATACAGCACTGTTTATACTGTGACTATTATTTCCTGAAAAGGCTACAATTAAAAGGCCATTTCACAGGGGTTTACCACACAGAGCCACCTAATTGTGACAGGAAGTGCACAGTTACAGTGTCTCCTCTGGTTCTAAGAATTTAAGAGGCATGCAGAAGATACAAACAGGATAATGTAAAGCCAGACAAAGATGAGAAATAAACTGATAACAAGTCAGTGTGTGGAGTTACACTGAAAGGTTTTTAAAAGGGTGTAGAAAACTGTGGCTTTGTGTGACAGCCTTCTCACTGGTTTTAAAATAAACCTACCAAACACACCAGCACAAATTCTTGACATCATAGCCTATTTCCCTTATCAGAGTAGCAGCTACAAAGTGACACCCCTTGCTTGATGCATTAAAGCAGTAGAAATGGAGGTTGGGGAGGCAGCTCAGTCTATAAGATGCTTATTGTACCCTTGTGAGGACCTGTCTTCATCCTCAGAACCCCAGATGGCTTCCATATGGAGCCCCAGCACTGGGGAGGCAGAGACAGCGGAGTCCCTGCACTTGTTCTTCAGTCCAAGGCTAGTCAGCAAGCTTCTGGTCCCAGAGAACCAGTCTTGAGAAAGAAGGTAGACAGACAGCCTCTGAGGAGCATCTCTCAAGGCTGACCTCTGACCTATAGCCACACAAAATGGCAGAAATGATACATGATAGTTTGGCAGTACTTTTAACTACTTTGAAGTCTGTCAGATGTAGAAACATGGTAGCTAGGAAGAGGGTGGGCCTGTGCTGCAGTTGAGAGCTGAGACTTATTTGTATGCTTCTGCCTCATTCTGTCCTCTGAGAAAGATGCAAATCAGCAGAAACCACGCTTACAGACGACACTATAAATTCCCCATATTTCATCCAGATCACAAAGCCCTGTTCCTCTTGATGATGCCAGCTGTTCTGTGCAGAAGGATGGGAAGTGCTAAGTAAGAGGTTTTCTTCATGTGTGATTATGTTTTTGTAACGTGAACATAGGAGAGTTTAAATTTCAGTTGTCTAAAAAAAATTGTCATTCTTAAATACCACACTAAGTGATTAAACAAATGGCCTATGTAGAATGTATTTAATAATGAGATTAAAATATCCTCTAGTTCAGAGAACATATCAGGTTTATATGTTAAAGTGCTTCTCAGAGACAAAATAATCATTTTTTGCATCCTGTTATTTAGCATATAGTAATATTTGATACCTACTTTGTCTCTTCCTTGCAGAGTTCCCTTAGCCAACAGAACTTACATCCAGACAGCCGGGCTGCGGTCAACTATAGCGTGGGCTATGGCATCTGTTGCAGAAGTTAAGGTCAGGAGTATGCCTGTATCCCTGTCTAACTACAGTCTCTAGCCGGTTGCTTCTGTTTTCTCCTTTCTCTCCTTTCTGTTTTTTTATTTTTTGCAGCTGTCAATTGACTTAAAAGCCATTACAGATTATACTTTTTTTTTTTTATTTCTTGCTTTTTGCTTTTCTGCATTGAACTTCTATAAGCATTTTGACTAGAAAATGAATTGTGTTTTATTATTTCTGATCTTGTGAGTCACAGTCCAAAAATGTGGCCTATAGGACCTTCATCGTTAAAAAAGTCGGCTTTCTCACTGTCCAGTGTCTTCATCAGTCTGTGAAAGTTCCACTGACAATCGGAAAGTTGTATTTTCTTTTTTTTTTTAATTTTTATTGGATGTTTTATTTACATTTCCTATGTTGTCCCCTTACCCCATCCCCCACCCACCCAGGAACCCCCAATCCCCTCACCCCTCC